CCGGTGCCGATATGGCGCTACTAGATCCCTGCCTTTCGGAAAGAGACTACCTAAGTAGACGAACTTATCTACTTCTTCGACGTTAGAGTCACCTATCTTCAAACGCAGATTGGAATCACCCAATCCCTCAGATAAGATCATGCATTTCGTCTTAGGTAAGGACACTTCCATGCCAAACCTAGTCAAAGCTGCCGAAAGCTTATCCAAGTTACGCTGAAGAATAGAATCATCATCCGCCAATAAAACGATGTCGTCCGCGAACAGGAGACATGAGAGGTCCACGGATTCCGTACTGCCCTCGCTCTCACAAGGCATGCTCAAGCTGATATCCAGGTTGGCTTCTCTGATCACCATTTCCATGAAGATGATGAATAGAAGAGGCGCTATTCGGCACCCCTGTCTAGTTCCCATATCTATTGGGAAAGGGTCAGATAAACCTTCCTGAGTTTTAACCTGTGCAACAGTATTACGGTGTAGTGATTCGATAGCTGAAATGAGCTTCTCATCACATCCGGCTAGCCTGAGAGCTCTCCAGATCGCAGGACGAGGTACTTTATCGAAGGCTGCTTTCAAATCCAGAAAAAAACACGCTGTATGATACACTATATAAAAAGCTCGCGAATTCTTACATAACCTAGTTGCAGCGTGACAGACAACAAATCGAACAAGTAACTTCTCGCAAACAACACGGCGCTTGCGCCACGGACATCAGCCAATTAGCTCAGCCTCGTTGCATGCCCTTGCTCTAAGATAGGAAGACAGGTAGGTATTAAGTTTGTACTATCAGTCTCTGACTAGCATTTGGGACGGTTTCAATCTGTTACATACAGCTCTCCACTCTCTGCATCTTCAGCAGTAATTCATTCTGGGAAAGTGAAGCCCAATGAAGAGGGACATAGCGGGCTCGAAGAAGTATGAGGGTATAGAAGAAGCGAACTTCGTTTGTAGTAGAAGCTTCGGTCAAGAAAGTTACTCATTTCTAGTACAACTTTCTAGTAAGTAAGTTCTCGAGGTTGAACAGAAATCCTCGAACAATAAAACTTCCATGCATCCTTTCACCTCAACCTCGGTCTTCCATCCCGATCTCTTTCAGAAAGTAGCTTCCTACAAGAACTTTGATTGGGTTATTACGCACCAATGGTAAGCGATGAAATAAACCTCGAAAATTTATCAAGAGCGAGACAAGAATTACTCGATGGATCCCGTATATAAAGCTTCGTTCTACGCGATTGCACACATTCTCGC